AGCATTCCCTTGGCTGGCCACACAGAAAAGATTTAGATGCCACCCAGCTGATTAGCAGAGTGCCCTCTGCTGAGGTTTTTTGTTTCTACTGGTTGTGCCTTGGTGCACATATTCTGCACCTGGATGGAAAAAATTAGAGGGAACGTTGATCAGAACCATGTTCTTCTAGACATGGGGCGCCATTTCAGATTTTGATAGGGAAGGGGTGACTTGTGCATGCCACGATGCAGGGGACAGACTGAGGGCATGGGGGACAGAATGAGGACAGCAGCTTCAGCAATGTTACTGAGCATGCTCAGTACAAGTCAAGCAGTAAATCGGGAATTGACTCCATCCACTTTTCACCCCCCTCCCTCACGCACACACACATCACCTCTTTCCAGGGGCTTCTAAGGCAATTGAAATCTCTGGTTTTTTTGGCAGATAACTTAGCAATTATCTGACAGGAGCACTGTATCTAAGTCCTATATAAAAAAGAAAGAAAATTAAATAAATATTAGACCCACTCAGCTCTAATAACATCTTGTGGCAAGTTACTTAAGGAACCGTGGTTAGCCTTCTCATTTTAATATATATTCTTTCTTTATTACACGTTGTGCAAAGGGACAGACAGACAGACACTGTCAGGACTCCTGGGCTTTATCTTGGCTCCGGAAAGGGCGTGGGGGCTAGTGGGTTACATTGGGGGCAGGGGGCAGATACACTGGGGCTCTGTGTAAGGACATCAGAATGGCCATACTGGGTCAGACCAATTGTCCATCTAGCCCAGTATTACCAACAGCGGCCAACGTCAGGTACTTGAGAAGGCATCAACAGAAAAGGGAATCAAATGATCCATTCCCTTTCCGGCTTCTGGCAAAAGAGACTAGGGACACCATCCCTGCCAATCCTGGTGAGTAGCCATTGATGGATGCATCTTCCATGAACTTATTTCATTCTTCTTGGGATCCTGTTATAGTTTGGGCCTTTCTATCTTCCCCTGGCAAAGAGTTCCACAGGTTGACCATGAAGAAATTTCTTTTGTTTGTTTCACATCTGCTGCTTATACATTCCATTGGGTGACCTTCTTGTGTTAGGTTCATGAATAACTAAATAACATTTTTTATTACATTTTTCCATGCCCTTCATTATTGTCTAGACCTCTAACTTATCCTTCCCCCCTGTTTTTCGTCATTTCTTTTCCAAGCTGAAAAGACTCAAAAGTCTTATTCATTCATTTCCTAATAATTCCCAATATTATTAGCTTTTTAGATTGCCACTGCACATTGAGAAGATGTTTCCAGGGAACTAGCCCCAATGATTCCAAGATCTTTTGAGTAGAGACAGCTATTTTAGACTCCATCATTTCTGTACGGATAGCTGGGATTATATTTTTCCTATGTGCATAACTTGGCATTTATCAACCCTGAAGTCCATCTACCCTTGTGTTGCCCAGTCAGTTTTGGACTTAACTATCGGGAGTTATTTTGTATCATATGCAGATTTTGCTAACTCACTGTTCACCCCTCTTTTGAGATCATTTATGAATAAATTGAACAGCACTGGTTCAAATGCAGACCCTTGGAGCTCACCGCTATTTATTCAGATTCTTTTCCCCCTATCTTTTAAGTGGCAGAGTTTTCATGATGATCTAAGGATCCTTCAGTTGCTTGAATGACAAGCCTTTTGTTATTTTAATCATGCTCCCTCCCTC